CTGCTTTTTTTTTTTTTTTTTTTTTATGAAATGTTGGAGGGTTGATTCTTTAAGCAAGAAGGGGGAAGAGGGAACCTTTCATTCTCTTACTTACCTAGTCTTCTAGGTGTTCCATAGGTGGCCTAATTGCATCCCAGCATCTGCTGGTGGGAGCACTCCCTGCACAGCAGTTTGTCAGAGTGTGATACAGAAATAGATGGGGAGATAAGGTACAGGACATCGCTGGCTTGTGGGGCTCTCCAGATCACACAGACTTGGTTTGTTTGTTTGTTTCCTGAAGTTGCCCTCCTGGGTGACACCAGCCCTGCTCAGTGGGTGTCCAGCAGGCCAAGATCCAGGCCTAGCTTTCCCTCAGAGGACTAAATGCGAGGCATGTGCTCATATTGTCAACTCAGGGATCCTGGAACCATTCTTCTGTTTCAGAATGGCTACACCCCTTTGCACATCGCTGCCAAGCAGAACCAGATGGAGGTGGCCCGCAGTCTGCTGCAGTATGGGGCGTCTGCGAATGCTGAGTCCGTGCAAGGCGTGACACCCCTTCACCTGGCTGCCCAGGAGGGTCATGCAGAGATGGTGGCTCTGCTACTCTCCAGACAAGCCAATGGCAACCTGGGGAACAAGGTAAACATGGTGCCTTCCGATTGGCCCTGTGGCCTCAGTAACGATTTAGTGGAGCTAAGTGGACATTATGTCTGAATATCGGGCACCCGCTGTGTGCCCAGGTTCTGAATTAGGTGGTTTGTGCGTGTATGTGTGTGTGTAATCCTCACAGCAGCCCTTTGTAGGTTTTATTGTAGTTTTATAAATGAGAAAACAGATTCAGAGAGATTGCATATTCCCAAGGTTCATGACCCCAAGCCTATCTGATGCCAAAGCCTTTGCTGACTCTTTCTAAATAGATTGGTTCAAGAATCTGCAAAAAGGTCAATATTAATATCCACAGTACACATTCCCCAATATAGGCCACTGTTACATTCAGGAATGTGTTAAGTAATTTGGTACTAAATATTCTTTTTCGGTAGGGAAGATATTTTTAAAATGCCAACCTATACATTAAATTATGAGTTCTCAACCCAGGGACTATTCCTATATGAGTCTGAAACCTTTCATTTTTTGCAGATTGGGCATGTGAACATTTTTCTGAGTAAAGTCTTCACAGTTTTCTTTAGCCTCTCAAAGGGATGCATGACCCAAGAAAGACTAAGAATCACTTCTTTTTTAAAAATAGTTTTATTGAAATATAATTCACATACTGTAAAATTCACCCTTGTGAATTGTACTATTCAGTGGTTTTGGTATATTTGTAGAACTGGGCAACTGTCACCACAGTCTAATTTCAGAACATTTCATCACCCCAAAGGGAAACTCATACCCATGAGCTGCCACTTCCTATGTCCACCACCACCCCTGCCCCCCCAGTCCCTGGCAACCACTCATCTACTTTCTGTCACTATGAATTTGCCTATTCTAGACACTTCATGTAAGTGGAATCATACAACATGAAGAGCCACTTCTTTAGATGATAAATGAACATAATACAGTTTCAGAAAAGCAGGCATTTTAAGGATAACTTGAGATTTTTAAAAAACCTGTAGATCTATTGGTTCTTTTAGTGCAGGTTGGGACAGATGACCCCCAGGAGGGAAGTGTTATGGTAGCACCATTCTATTGGATGGGATTCTTGGTTTCTCCTTTGCGCCATTTAAAATGGGCTCTGTAAGGAGCCTTAGGGATGATGGTGAATCTCTGTATTGGAGACGTCCTCACTCATCCACACACAGCTCAACTGTGGCCTGTTCTCTCTTGGGCCAGCCCCACAGGTCTGAGGGAGATGGCTGGCCTGCTCAGGCTTCAGCTGGGGCAAGGTACTGCTCCGGGGCCTCTGGTCAAGACAGGGGACAGAGGAGGGCAGGTAGAATCCCTGGAGAAAGGCAGGCCCTGCCCTCTGCCTCTGATTGCACAGGAATTGCAGCTTCATTTGCCCCATGGTTAGTGAAGTGGATTGAGGTCTATGTGTATGGAGGAGAGAAGACTTTTCTGACATTTTTGTGGGAGTGTGCACAAATCAAACAAGATCTCTGGTGCATTACTATCTTCATGAGAAAGCTGTGATAAAACTCCAAGAATACAGTGTTTTTAGTGCCAGCAAGATCCTCCATCCTTTTTATAGCGCAACACTCGTGATCTAATCACACGCTACACTTAAATGGCACATTGTGCTTTTCAGTGAGTTTTCATGTTTTCTCAAGTGATCTTTACTTTGCCCTGGAAATGGATTAGTGATAATGCCTATTTTCTGGATAAGGAGACCAAGGCTCTGAAGCTCATCTTGAATCTTGGAAATAGGGACTGTTACAATTGGAAAGTACATAAAGTTCATCTGGTTCAGAGGTCAGCAAACTACGACCTATTGGCCAAATCCGGCCCACCACTTGTTTGTATAAATAAAGTTTTATTGGAACACAGCCATGCCCCGTTTGTTTATGTGTTGGCCATTCCTGTTTTCTCACTATAATTGGCAGAGTTGGGTAGGTGCAAGAGAGATACAAGCCAAAAATATTGACTACCTGGACCTTAACAGAAAATGCTGCTGACTTCTCACTTAGTTTAACTACCTCCTGGTTTAGATAAGGATATGGAGGCTCAGAGCTGGAAGAGCTTTGCCCAAGGTCAAATAGCTGGTTGGGGGCTGCAGAGCCAGGTTCAGCTCCCACACCTCAGTGCTCTTTCATTGTGGCTTGGAATTCCTTACCGGCTACAAGATGACGAACTCCTTTTTCTTTCCAGAGTGGACTCACCCCCCTCCACCTGGTAGCACAAGAAGGCCACGTTCCAGTGGCAGACGTGCTGATCAAACATGGTGTGATGGTGGACGCCACCACCCGGGTAAGGCTTCCCCACCCTCCCTCCCTGTGTGT